GAGAACGCAGCCTCTTGCCCACGGGACGTGGAGAAAAAGAACCACGGAGTTCTGTAGTTTCTCCCCTTTCCCTCCTCACGAAGGTCCCCATCTGTGATATTCCTGCCACCCATTTCAGCACCTATGGCTGAAATGTGCATCCATCCCCTGCGGCAGAACCTGTGAGGTCAGCAGGAGTGGCCCAAGGGTGGAAGGCACTCAAACAACAAAGGTGAAGGAAGGTCTTTGGGGGTGTGTTGGATACACGAGATAACTGGGCAGGAAGGACAATCCATTAGCAGGCTCTGCAAGGAAATGTGAATCTATCTTCAGAGCCAAAGAACACTCCTGTTGACTCATTGGCAGCCAAATCCTTGCGTGCATTATTTAGAGATGTCCCAGGGGCACATACAAATGAGTAACTTTTGCTACCAGAAGCCGGCTACAAAAAAAAGAACATCCCAAAAGATGTGGCTGGGGGTGATCCATGCAGGGAGACACAGGCAGGGCGCTGGGGCTGCAGGATGCAAGATGTAGGATGTGGGATGAGGGATGCAGGATGCCCAATCGCTGCAGGCAGGCACAGCTCCCTGCTGGCACCAAGCACGTCCCCCCCACTCCATCTTCTTCCATTGCCAATGGATCAATTGTGCTCAGAGAGCTCTGGTCTGCCTATGTAGGTCAGGCCGGCAGAGCTGGCTCCACGGTCCGTGAGGTTCTTAAAATGAACAAGGGTCCCCCCTTCTGCCTCCACCCAACCCCCTGATGCCCAGCCCTTGGCAGAGTGCAGCTTTGGCTCTCTTCCTAGAGGAGCAGAGCCCTTCTTCGAGGCTTTGGGCACGTTTGCAGCTCCTGGGCCAGCATTTTGCCCTGTGCTTCGCCCTGAGCAATGCTCTCCCTGTTTGTCTTTGCAGGAGCAGAGCTCTGCGCTGGGAGGGAAGGGGTGACATGACCCGATTTGTGGCTGTATGTCGATAGCACTGGCATTGCTCCCACTCAGCTCTGTGAGCAGGATGGGAGCTGACCCAGCTCCCAGCACGGGAGATTTATCTGCACTGTAGCATCCCGGGGTGGGCTGGGCAGCCCCAGGAGGAGAGAGATTCAGCACACCAGGCTGCTCCCCTGTTTGTTGCTGCATGGGAGGGGAGCAGATAAGAGAGTGGTTGCCTAACCTTCAGCCTTGGGAGCCTCTGCTTCTGGCCACCCAGCTTCAATTCCATCCAGAAGCCTTTATCTCTCCAAAGGAAACCCAAATCCTCCAGAGACGTGGACTCACAAGCATAGCAGGGGGAGAGAGAAAGCAGAAAACAAACTTTTTCAAATAAAAAGTTATTTAGTTTAGAGCAAACTTTGCACTAGCTGAAGGGTTGACCTTGTGTTCTCTCCTAGGAACAAGCAAGAGTAGAGTGAGGATCGCATTATTTTGCCTGAAATTTGGAGTGGATCAACCTCCTGCTGTTCCTAGCTCCTGAAACGAGTGGCTGTAAACAACATGCATTTCCGCAGAATGAATTAAACAGCAAGCCTGAGTACTGACTGTATTTTAAGAGATGTTTATTTGTCCTCACTGCCGCTCTATAAAGTTGCACAAGGACTTATTAAATTTTAACCCCACATTGTTCCCGGGTAAACACTGCCCTTCACCAGCGTGCTGAATGCTCTCAGCCCAAACAAGCAGCTCACTGCAGCCTGCAGCATCAGCACCGTGTATGGTCCCACGCTGCTCCTGCCTGGGCTTTGATGGCTGCTGGCTGCTCTTTCAGTGCTGGAGAAGGATGCTGCCCGATTGCGTTTTCTTTCTGTGCATGTTGTAGGGGCAGACAGCTTGCTCCTGGTTTCCTACAGACCTCCAAATGTCTTCTGCACCTTTCTGCCAAAACTTGCTTTGTAAGTAGGCAGGGAAGACCTTGGTTTGCAGAAGGGTAGCCAAGCCAGTAATATATGTCTGAGCTCCTTGCTTCACAGCACGGAAAGGGAGAAGGCGAGACATTGTGACTATGGGCCAGGGAACTTGCTGCACCTCCCCAACGAGGAGCCCTGATGAGGCGGGCATGTGCCATGCTTCACCCCTCAGCTGCCCTTCTGTAGCCATCAAGAGCTTCCTCCTCCACGTGGGCACAACCCTGGGCCATTGGTCAGCATGGAGAAAAGGCTGCCCAGATCCCCAGCAGTGAGAACCAGCAGCATTGGAGCAAGAACAGCCTGGAGCACTGTACTGCTGGATAAAAAGATGGTTTTGCTGTTTGCAAGGGAAAAGCCAAATAATCAGCATGAAAAGCAAACCCTGGTGCCTCTGTGTGAAATCCAGCTCTCCTTGCCTAATTAAGGGTCCTGAAAAGCCCCTACCTCCCTGTTCTTGGGGTGTTTCTCCTGCCTGGAGGGGATGCCGCCACAGGACATGAGATGCTGAGCAGGGTTCTCCAAAAAGAAGGATCTACACACTGCAGAAACATTTCTGAACTCATGTTTGTTCCCTCTCCTGGGTCTGGGCAGAATGTCAAAGCCTGCTCTGAGCTGGAAATATTTTAAGACTAGCACTCACTGGAGACTGAAACAATGGCAATTCTTTAGCTACTGAGGCTTTTATAAAAGGGCTTTTGACAGAGAGGCTGCTTAGGGGTTTTTTTGTTGTTGGTTTTTCTCCCGGAAAGCACTGTGCTAGTGTCTGTGTCCATGTGTCTGTTTGTGCTCACACTTCTGGGCCCCTCGGTGGCAGCCTGGGGGATGCCTGCAGCCCTGCTCGCATGCCGCCAGCTCCAGCGAGGCACGGATCACACGGGATGCCATGCAGCCATGCAGGAAGAAGACATTTTAGAGTAAATGTCAGCTTTTGCGTTTCTGAGTTTGGGGCTTTTTTTAAACATGTGGGTGGGACTTTTAATGCCCACACGAAGCCGAGACGGTTTCAGTCTCCGGGGCTTATCCAGAAGATTCACACAAACACTATGGAAAGTGTCTCTTTACTTAGGAGGATGAAATTTGACACTGAGAAGGTTTTAACCCGGTATTTCAGCAAGGAGCCTCAGTAGTTAGTGTGTCATATCTGATAAAGGCTCATCAGCCCTCCTTCGGGCACCGTTCAATTCTTATTTTCATCTGGCTCCCATGCAGGCTGTGGATACGCACTTGCACGCAGGCAAAGCGGTGCAAAATCTCAGCTCTGATCTTCCCTGGACACGAGGTCAATAAGCAGGGAAAAGGATGAAGGACAAACCCTGTGACCACTGCCCTTGTGAACGGCCCAGCTCCAAGCCCTGCCTGCAGAACAAGCTGGAAAGCAGTCATTCGCATGGCCAGCCTGCATGGGACAGGGGTGGGATCCCACCAGCAGCACTTCCCCGCCTGTCCTGAGCCCATTTCCCCCAGCCTCACGCCTGCCCTTCCCGCGAGGTGTCCAAAGCCTCCTCCACAATTAATCTGCTTGCTGTTTGTTCAGGCTGTGTGGATTTAGCTCTCCAGCCTCATGTGTAGTGTGTGTATAGGGAAAGATAGATTGCCGCTACTTTCCAGTATAAATCACATTCCTTACAACACTCCAAAGTAGCATTTCCAACCTCAGGGTGCTAATAGGATCCAGCAGGAGAAAGAAATGTCAGCTAAGTAGTAGGCGCTGTTTGGAGAGTGCAATGGAGCTGATCCGCAGCCCTGGGGCAAAAGGAGCAATCCCAGGGCAAAGGTTAAAGAGTTCAGGAGCACTTCAGCCTACTTAATTGCAACAGGCCTCTTACACCGAGCAAGATGGATGACTCAAACCAGGCAAGGGGGGCAGAGCAGGGCCAAAGCAGCGCATCTGGAAGCAGCTGGGCGGCAGGGGACACACACAGGGGACGGCAGCAGCAGGACCCCCAGCCGCCAGCCCTGTCCCCTCCTCCTCAGATGGGAAGGAGTATCAGTGCCACTGGAAAACAGCCGGGTTTTGCTGCGAGAGCCCAGCGCAGCGTTCACCCAGGCAGATAACGAACCGATAGCAAGAATAACTCCGGGTGCCAAGGAAGGGTTCTGTGCTCCCCACCGAAATCGGAAGGAATATTTTTAAGGGGGAAAGAAGGGAAATTGGTTCTTGTTGCTGTTCTGGTTGTTTTGCTCAGGATTTGTTTTCCGATTCCACTTTTTTTTTTTTTAATCTTCAGAATCTAAAAACGTCTTGTTCCAGCCCCAAGGTGATTCTACTGCAAAGGTGCCTCAGACTACAATTTTAGTAGAGTTTAGACTTGTTTTCTGCAAAATGTCATCAGAAGCTGATGTTTTGCAAGGAAAAGATCTTTTGAAATATATATATTTTTTCTATCTAAAGGAAAAAAAAAAAAAGTTTAGAATAAAAATACTTCATCGAGTCCTCAGCAGCGAGCTTTATGTTGTTTCCCTGGTGATAAACGCACAAGGCTGCATCTTGAGACACTCGCGTTTAATTCCTGCCTCGACCGCAAACCCCCGCAGCGACCTTGAAAGAGCCACTTCAGTTCTGCTCCATATGCGAGGAGCTCTTCGTCACAGCTCCCGTTAGGGCCGTTCGGCTGGGATAGCAGCTGAAAAGCTTTCGTTTCACCAAACACCCCGCTCCCAGCCCCCGCTATCCCTTTCTCGTCGGTCTTCGCTCCATCCCGTGGCCCCCCGGCCGCATCCCCGGCCTTGCGTAGATCGCAGCCCCGAGGCTGCGCCGCGCTGGCGGCTACTGGGCTGCGGGCGCCCCCTGGTGGCAGAGCGGGGCCTACAGCTGGGGAGGTGGAGTTGGGTTGGAAGAGGCCTCAGGGACCTTTTGGCTCCAAGCCTTCCAGCCTGGCCTTGAGCACTTCCAGGGATGGGGCACCCACAGCTTCCCAGCAGCCTGTCCCAAATGTCAGCTTCTGAGGTCCTGCAGCCCTTCGAGCACTCTCATCATCTGCTCTGGACCCAACAGCTCCATGTTGGGCCCCAGAGCTGAACACAGCCCCAACCACCCCCCCGTGGACATCACTGAGGTCTCTCCAGAGCAAAGCATTCGGTGGCTTTTATTGAGGAGAGGGGCAAGCAGGGATGGGTTCATCCCCTCTCCCATCCTCTCCCAGAGCCACACATCATCACTCCCCAACCTCGGGGATCTCAGGAGAGCAGCAGGGCTGCCAGGAGGCTGGGCAGCAGGAGGCAGCCACCAGCAAGGCTGGGGGGAGGCTGGGGAGAGCCATTGCAGAGATCGGTGTCACAGCAGTGGATGCGGACCCCCGGCAGCTCCTGCTGCTGGCAGTGACGGGAGGTGGCACAGCCGCTGGTCAGCAGGATGCCCAGGACCACTGCAAGGCAAGCAGATGGCAGAACATCAGGGATGGAGGCCGTGAGGTTTGGGGTTTGCTTCGGACTGCTTTGATCAGCTTCCCCCGCCATGACGGCCCTGCCATAAGGCAGACTCACCACTTTCAGTCTTAATGCAGAACCGGTGTTTGAAGCCCTGATGGGAGTGTGAGCAGGTGATCACCTCTGGGTTCGAGCACCCCGTGTCCACGTACTTGGTGCCAACAATGATGTTGCAGCCGTAGCACCGGAGCCCAGACACTGAACAAGAGCATATAAAACACAGCTGGATTTTTCCAGGGGAAAAACACTTGGGCTCCTTCCTAGCTGCTCTCTAACGAAGCATTTGCGGCGTTCTCTGCCTTGCCAGGTTGCATTAAGCACTGAGTCAGAGACTAAATCTGCCCGTCACTTGTTTACCCGTTGGGCACAAAAGCACAAAACCAACTCCCGCTAGAGGTCAGTAAGAAATCAAAGATTAGCAATAAATTTGAGCTGAGATCCAACAGTGGAAACAAGGGAGCTTTGAAGCAGGGTTTGGAAAGAATAAGTGAAACCTCCAAGCCATAGATACCATCAAGCTCAGCTGCTCTCAGAAACTGCATTTGCCCGTTTCTACAAAATTCTCTGGTTCAAGCACAGTTTGGTTTCCTCCCTGTTTTTTATCACAGTCCATCAGGGAGGCAAACTAGCCCGGAATCAGGATAGAGAGAATAAGAGCAGATGCCTCAGCAGTTTGTCCCCATGGGCTCTGCATAGGGCAGCTCAGCCCTGTCCTGCAGGAACAGTGTGCCTGAGAATGCTTCCCCTAAATCAAAATAGGAATTGAGCCATTTCTCACATTCCATTAAAAAAAAAAAAAAAAATTAAAAAGGAGATTCTTTCCCATCATCCATAGATTTTAAGGCAAACGCAGTACGTGACCCCTGTGTTTGCTGATTGCAGAAATCACACTGCAGGCTTCTTCTCGCCATTGCCTTCCCCCTGCCTCAAAACAATGCTAACAGCCCTTGCTCATTTGCTCCCAAAGCATTTTCAGGTGCTGCGTGAGCCTCCCTGGGCCCAGCAAGAGGTTCACCGAGGAAAGGAAGCTGCTGGGATCCCAGCTGCTGGCCCACGCTCCTCACCCACCTGCCCTCGTTTTATACAAAAACACAACGACTTTATCTCTCTTCCTAAAACCACCAACGTGGCAACGCGCAGCTACATCACTGGAGCTGGGAATTCCACCAAATTCACCCCGAGAATAAATTGCACGTTAGCAAGCAGGGTTTGAGATGGAGGCGAAAGAGCACGAAGCGCTCTGCGCCCATCAGTACTTACCCTCTGGGAGGACAAACACCACGGTCAGCAGAGACAGGATCCCATGGGCACCTCCAGGCATGTGTCCTGAGAGCATGGGGGCACGGGCTGCCTGTCCTCCCAGCTTCCACACACCGCTGGCTTCCCACCTGCGAGCCCCGTGTCGAATAAAGGCAGATCGGCAGGTCTGGCTGCTCCCCGCTCCTCCAGCCCCGTGGCACTGAGTCCTGTGATGTCGATGCTTTAATTTCTTCCTTTTCCTCACGAGAAATTCTCTGGTTCTCTCAGCTTGTGCACAGACGTGAGCGCGTCTGTGCTACCCTCGGTTATTTCTGTCCTATTTCCTCTGTCCACGATCGCTTCCCATTAATACTACTGTGCAGCAGCTCTTGGAGAGAAATTCTCCCTAATCAAGATTTAGTTTTAAATCCACTTCAAAATCCTCTAATTCAGTTGGATTAGGCAGAAGGGGTTTGGGGAGATGGGTGTTTTTACTTTTTTTTCCCTCTTTCTCCTCTCTGAGCTGCCTCGTCTTCACAAACAGCCCCACTGGCTCTGTGACATGTTCTATTTAAAGAGGGGAGGAATATTTTTATTAAAAAGAAGCAGTCAACTCGTTTTAAATCCAAAGCTTGGGATTCTCTGCCAAAGCACGGCCACAGGGACGGCTGTGGGGTTGAAGGAAGACCTGATGGAAGTCGAGGTGGGTTTGGGTATATTTTATGCACCTATTTCTTGAATCAGTGAGATGCCAAATGGGGCTAAGCCTGGGGGAGTCCAGCTAGGGCTGCTCGAGTTGAGGGTCAAGGCCATGAACAATGCACACAGCCCTGTGGGTCAGGATCAGCATCGCAGCCACGTGAGACCCCACGGACATCACCAGCCACAGGATCCATCCCCAGACCCCCACTGGCTCCCCCAGCTGTGTCCCCACGAGCAAAGCCTGAGCTCTGAGCGGAGCTAATGGGACTTGGAGAGCTAATGCTTACTAATAAGAGAGCGCAACCGAATGCACGGGATTAAAAAATTAAAATGACAAAATAAGCTGCTTATGAGGTGCATCCAGCAGCCACATACCAGCACCTGGAACTTACCCACCCAGGGCAGCCTAGGGCTGATATGAGACCCCAGCCCAGTGGGTATCTCTGCTGCCAGCCAAAGCCCTCAGGCAGACAGACCCATCTCCATCCCAGCATCTTCATTAGCCAGCATAATCATTAATATTTCACTGGGAGGCAGGACAAAGTTTTCTGAGTGTGGACACCTGCAGCTACAGGGGTAGCAATTAGCACCTGGGAGAGGTGCCTAAGTGATGCAGCTCGCTTATTCAAATCACTTAAACCACCCACGGTGCCTCGCTTGCTTCAAAACAATGTTATTATAGCGCATCTCACTCAGCAGAGCCTGGGGGAGAAGGGATAAAACGCAGGAAATGGGATTGATTTAAACACACGCATAAATCAGAGCATTCAATAAGGAGGGGAGGCTAACTTTTAATCCCTTAATAAACTCATCGGTCTCTGGCAGGGGAGAGGCAGCCCGGGCTCTGATGAAGTGATGCTGAAGCAATGCAGAAGTGATGCAGAAGCTGGAGACCACGCACACCTTTGGGCACAGCACCTGGCTCTGCAGCTTCAGCCAGCAAAGCCACTGCTCCATAGCAGCACCAGGTGGCCCATCCGTGCAGGGCACTGAGATGGAGACCCTAAAAAATGCCATCGGGGCAGCTCACGGCTGTGCAGCACACAGGGAGTTACACATTCCATTGCAGTGGTGGAAAGAGCTTCATGGGGCCACATTTGTGCCTGGTCCCCAGGCACGGGGCATGGTGGCATGACTGCTGGTGATGCTGAGGCTGAGCTGAGCCAGAAGTTTTGTTTGCTTGCTTTGTTTCCTCGGAATGTGGGAGGCAAAGACCTTTAAAATTTGTGGGGAAAAGGAAAAAACTAACAAATGAGCACAAACCAGCCTGGAAACATCATGCGTTTCTTTTAACTTGTCATTAGCTTTCCGATGAGATTCAGAAATTTGTCAGCCTGAGTTCACCAGAAATGGGTTAGGAAACTGCCATCCTGCCCCGACTGAGAAAGATTTGATTAGCAAATCCCCCACTACATTCATGTTCTCACTTAAACCTTTGCGATACTCAGAAAGAACGGCTCAGCCCTGCACAGATTAGATGGGTTAGCCAGCAAATCCTGCTTTAGAGCTCATCCCCAGCAAAGACAGAACTTCCCGCTGAGCAGCCCCCTTCCTGCGCACAGCCCCATTCTCTGCACCCCAAAAATATCGCCGCTTTTTACCTCCCCGAAATGGATCTTACACTCGGGCTGCTCCAGTTTTCTGTTCCCTGCAATGCAGCCTAGACGGGAATCGAACCCTCAACCCCCAGAGCCTCTCTGGCGCCGTGCCGCCGTTAACGAGGTGGAGCAGAGGCGCCCCCCACCGGTCAGAGCGATACGGCCGTCATAAAACCTCCAGTGCCTGCGCTCTGATTGGATGGCGGCGATGAATACATTAACTACTCTGTAAACAGAAAGCATTTGCGTCCTTTAACGGAATCCACAGGATTTAAAACACTTGCAAGAGCTTAATTATTTTGCGGAACAGGTAAAAGCTTTTGCAGAGCGAAGATAAGGGCAGGAAATATTGCTCACCCTGTCTTGAAGAGGAAGCTTTCTTTGAAGGTTTAAATGGAGCCATAAGGAATTGCAGCAGCGTGTTGTATGAAAGGAGAGAAGGTTAGCACTCCCCTTGATAAGGATGGAAGAGGCCCCAGTGGCCTATACAACACGCATACGGTTAAGGCACTGCCACCTACTTTGTGGCATCTAACCATGTTTTTTCGCGGTTCCCCCCCCTTCTCAAACGAAATCCTTTTGCCCCTTCCTTAACGCAGCGATTTTCCTCCTCCCTGCCCCGCCAGCTCCTAACAGCAGTACGACGCAAAGCGCTGCTGAATCAACACGAGAAATGCTCGCAGGGGGAACGCAGCGGCTTCTCTGCTCTCACAAAGCACAGCCACGTCCTGCACTGAGGGAGCTTCACCAGATGGGGGGGAATGAACCGCTCCATGAAGTCACTGTAAGGAAAGTGATCACTTCCGTGCCGCGGTGTGTCCATGCGGGAGAGGTCTGTGCTGTAATTTTTAGCTATTATCAAGCAGGAGCTTGACAGCAAAACAAACTAGCAATTATCCACCTTATGGCAGAGCCCTTCAGAGGGAGCTCAGCTTGTTCATTAACAATCTGCAACCAGCAAAAGCTAAATCCTGCATCATCATTCAGCCTGCCCTGCACGTGCTGCACAGCGGGCAGCAGGAATTCCTCACAGCCCAAGGTCTCTGCGAGAGCTTGTACCAATGCTGCCTCTGCACAGGATACCTTCAGCTCACTCCTTACTTTCCTCAAATGCTCCTTTCTTCTTAGCAGCCATAAGCACAGCTGGTTCCCCTTCTCTCTCCTCTTCAGTCAGTACAGCTCCTACAGAAATACTTCCTTTTAAACCTGATTTTAAGGGAGGCTGCTAAGGAAACACAACAGCCCTGCCTGCAGCAGTGGGGTTGGAGCTTCATCAGCCTTGAGGTCCGTTCCACCCCAAGCCATTCTCTGGCTCTATGATGACACAAACACTGCACAGTACCACAGTTACCAACAAGCACACACAGAAAATCCCACCTTTTTATTACGGCATATGGCAGTTGTTTGGATGTGTAAACACTACGTGGCTATGACAAAAGAGGAAAGAAATACCAACGCTGAAATAGATACAGAGTCATGCCATTAGCAGTACAGTTTCATACGATGGATTTTTCCAAATACAAAAGTCTGGGGTTGTTTTTTTTTCTTTTTACATTGAAATAACTTTACAGTGTCGTGTGAGCTTCCTTTTATCCAGAAGGAAAAAAAAATAAAATATGCTGAGAACAACTACAAGCAGAATTCATTTTAATGGTTAACAGAAATGTAACTTTGCTCTAGAACAGCATCTATTAAACACACGTAACAAGAGGTAAGCAACTATACAGAAGGTAAGAGGAGATTTCACCACAGGAGTCAAGTCAGGGGCAGGAAGGGGGAAAATCTGGAACTGCATGGTTTTATTTGGTCACAAAGTTTGAGCTGAGTGTTTAAAATGAAGCACCCTTAAAGATGCAGTACTCCTATTTAAAACAATACAGAAACTTCCAAGAGACTAAAACCTACATTCTGAAAAAATAAAAAAATTAGACATTTAAAAAAAAAAAAGAAATCCACGCATCTCTAGGCTCATGACTTAACTTACTGTCACAAAGCAGGCTGGCAGCTCTTCCTTAAGCAGCAGCAGAAGTAATGCCACCATAAATACAGTATCTTTGGGTGCCCAACACCAGGCTGACACTCGTAACGCCGTGTCAGAACGATCCATTTGTCTGCCAAAAGATCAGGCAAGGAAAGGAGACACTGCACCTTTGTTTTTTTTATCCTCCCCACCATGCTGCCCGGTTCTAGCAAAGAGCTAAGACGTTTTCTTTGGGCCAAGACTAACAGAAACCACTTTATCAAATGTTCTTCAGGTTTCCTGCCAAACTGGATTTATTATTCTCATGTGGTTTTTAAATTTTTTATTTTTATTTTTTTTTTTAAAAACATTTCTTTTTTTCCTGACAGTCTCTCAAGTGATGCTGGAGCGTTTAACAGTCACTCTTCCACAGTTTAATTGTTTTGTCGTTTTCTAGAGCTGCTGATGCGATGATGTTTTCTGTCGGGTGGCAAGCTGTTGAGATTACAACATCTAAGCAAGAAGAAAAAGACACACAAGCATTATTTACAGCAGTGAGATCAGGTTCACAGCACACACTTCCGAAAAGGAATCTGTACTGCTGCTACATGTAACAGCATATGCTGCTACAGCATAGCCAAGTTGCTATTCCCTCGCTGCAGAGTTAAAAACACATTATTCAACATTCACTCTGTTTCTGGGATGGGAAGTTACGTGCTAGCAAAAAAGTATCCCTTTCGTGGGCTCCCCAGCTTGAGAGCAGCAGCTGGAATGTGTTCCACTCAGTATTTAGATAGCACTTAGCCTTCAGCAACTTGGTCTAAGTCTAAAAAACCAAAGCTTGCTGCCACTGCCTCAGCTTGCAATCAAAACCAACAGTCCTACTAAGGAATAAGCATGACTGAGTTTTGCATCACAATCCCTTCTAGTTCATGCAGATGGAATGCTCCTAAGGGACTGAAGTCCCAAGCAGGTGACATCTCAATGCACGCTCAAGTCTGCCTTCAAGAAACAGCCAACACAAACACAGACAACAGAAGCACGTCAGCTCTTAGCCTTCCAAGAGCTGCAGCTTCAGAAGGTGTCCGTAAGCAACTCCAAGTCATATTCTGAGTCGCTTAAATATCTTAACCAATTCTGAACTCAAGTCTCTGTTGCACACTGATTTCAAAGCTGTTACATCGAAAAAAAAAACAACATTTGCAATGACATAAAAGACTTTGTAAGAAGAAGTGAACATTTAGGGTTCAATCAAGCCTCAGCCAAGACCTCAGATTTAGCAGGTCTGACAGTGGAAGCAAGAAAACACCAATGCTAACACCAAAGCTCTCATTGCAAGCTGACATGAAGGATACTCTATCAATAAAGACAGAATGCTCTTTCCTACCTGTGTGCCCTTGTAATTTCTGTACAATCTCTTTTGTCTGAAGGTTCCAAATGTAAACCAGGTTGTCTTCTGAACCGGATACAATCCACTGCAGGGACAGAGGAAAGACATTTGAATCTCTTCATCCATATCCAACCGCTCCAAGCCGCCAAACGCTTCACTGCGCCA